TTAGCATAAGTAGAAATAAAAAACTATTTTTGTAGTAGTATGTTTTTTAGAGTAATAAAGTACTATAGTTTTAAAACAACAAACAAATTAAGCAAATAACAGTCATTTTCCCTTATCGTAGTGATTAAAACTAATTTCTTTAGTTCTTCTTTCTAATGTAATCTCGAAAATATCATTAAAAGATCATATCTTTCACATAATTATTCAAGAGAGGATTATATCATGTCATATGCCTGAAGCATTCTCTAGAAAGATATCAAATATGCTCATGACAAGAAAAGCAAATTAGAACACATTAACCCATTTTTCAGTGGGTCATTTTACTAAAGAAAATATATCATAACAAGCAGTGGGAAGAAAATTTATTAAGTTATCCTTTTTGATCCAATTTTAATTCCTTAAGAGAAGATTTTCAACTCTCTTATTGTCTTTATGAAAAGAACATTCACCAATCTTATGAGAAGTGTCTCAATAACGATAACATACCCTTATACCCTGTTTTTTGTTTACACTTTTCAACCATTTATGAATCTTGGAATAGGATTTTGAAATAACGGTATTATTAGAATGACAAGATGAGGAGACTTGAGACACTAATGTGCATAAAGATTTATCAGTGTCAGAAGAGTGAGAATCATCTGTTTCATGACTACTGACAGATCATTAAGGAAACACACTAAGTATTTCATGTGTAGAGTGAAACTCTCCATTTGAAATAGGAAATATGAGATACATTTTAGTGAAGATCAACATTTGTGAGCGATAGGTTGGTGACCTTGATATTTGTCAGGCATGAGTTTTCTTTAGCTCAGTGACATTATTAGTCATAGTCTCAATCTCTGTCCTAAGAGAGTGCTTTTCTTGATTTACTTTTGAGAAATGAAGAGACAAGTAATCGAACATCCTACATTTTTCATTTTCAGAATAAGTGACAAATTTGTTTACATGTTATAAGGATGTAGAATCCCATTTCTATAGTGTAGAATCTATGGTGACTTCAATTATATCAGTTTCAAAGGAACTTGATCTGTTGCTTCTTCCTTCATTAGTGAGATATGCATCACTGTGCGTCATCCAACACCTTTCTTTTTCTTTCACTTCTTTGTTCAGATTCCAATTCGTGATCAAACTCTTTGTATTTTATATTGAAGTGTTTAGCCTTGATTGAATTCTTTTAGAAAAAAATGACTTTTGGTTACGTGTAACAATCAAGTCTTCTTTCATAGATTCATCAGAGAAATCGTTGTCGTTGTGAAGATCATTTGAATTCTTCTTGTATTAGGTCTTTGCTTCTTCTATGTTTTAAAGATAGTTAAATATGGAAGAAAGATCCATGTTTGCAATCATTTGACCATTTTGAGGATATTAACAGGATGATCCCAGTTCATTCAAAGAGTCAAGAAACTTGAAGATTGGAGAACTTCTAGCCTTATTCATATTAAACAGATACGTGCATTACAATGCAATAGAAATGATTGAAAATCGGAGTAAGCGATTCATTCTTTTGCTGAAAGAAATAATCATACTTTTTATTTAGATTTTTGCTTATATCCACGTGTTGTATCTGGTTTCCAGGAGCATTTGTTGAAGAGATTGGAGAAGAAGGACATGACATGGTTAATCGTTCAAAGTATCTTGCTCTAATACCAGTTGAAAGTTTCCCTTTATCTTATAACAATTAATATAAAATAATATTGAAAGAATACAAAGAAATATCACAAAGGTTTTTCACTAAGAAAAGTTCTCACTAAGATAACGAGCATAAAGCTCTTTGGGGTTTAATACAACCGAGCAAGAGAATCCAACTCCAACCGAGGGGGAGGATCCCTAACCTGACAAGGAACACATTTCACCATTTGAGGGGGAGAATGCAAATACAAATGACGAAGACGAACAATCAGAATTTGAAGAAGAGATTAATGCAGAGTTGGACCCTGTTTATGACTCGAACTACCCTCCTCTCATAAAATGGACTAAGGATCATCCTCAAAAATAGATTATTCTCACACGGTATCAGTTGAAAGCGAAGCAAACTGCATTATTCTCTCTAGTTGAATTCTGCATGTTTAATTCATTTGTCTCTAAAATTGAACCAAAGATAGTCAACACTGCACTTGATCATGCTGATTGGGTACAGGCTATGCAAGATGAACTTCATGAGTTTGAACGCGATCGTGTTTGGAGACGAATACCCACACCAAAGGATGCTTATGTAGTTGGATTAAAGTGGGTCTTCAGGAACAAGATGGATAAAGAAGGCAATGTTATAAGAATTAAGGCTCGGCTGGTGGTATAGGGATATTGCCAAGAAGAAGGAATAGACTATGAGGAGACCTTTGCTCCTGTAGCCAGATTGGAATCAGTGTGAATCTTTCTAGCATATGCTGCTCATAAAAACTTCAAAGTTTTTCAAATGGACGTGAAATGTGCCTTCCTGAATGGAGAACTAGAAGAAATGGTGTATGTTGAGCAACCACCTGGGTTCGTGAATGAGAAATACCCCGATCATTGCTATGTGTTAGATAAAGTTGTGTATGGGCTGAAACAAGCACCAAGGGCCTGCTATGAAACTTTAACCCGATTTCTAAAATTGTCTAAATTCAAGCAAGGTTCGATTGACCCAACCTTCTTTCGCAAGAAAGAAGGAGAACATCTAATGATAGTTCAAATTTATGTCGATGATATCATCTTCGGCTCCATGAATCCCAACTTAACAACTGAATTAAGGAAACTGAGGGAGACTAAATTTGAAATGAGCACTACTAGAAAAACAACCTTTTACGACGCTCATTGCGCGTCGTAAAACGCTCAGACGACGCGCAAATGCGCGTCAAGGAAGGCCCTGTCATAAAGAGAGACGACGCACTTTTGCGCGTCGTCTATAGACGACACGCATTTACGACGCGCATTTATGACGCACATTTACGTCGCGCGGTTAGGACACGCAATGCGTATCAAGGAAGGCCCTGTCATAAAGGAGGACGACATGCATTTGCGTGTCATAACCTTACGACGCGCGTGTTTATGGCACGCAATGCGTATCAAAGAAGCCCCTATCAAGAAAGGCCATGTCATAAATGAACACAACACACATTTTTGCGTATCGTAATTTTAATTCTTTTTTAAAAAAAATATATATTTATAGATTTACTGGTTTTCAAATTAAATTTGCATTTCATGTCTCATAATAGAAAATAAAATACCATATACAAAAAATACAATACATTACACAAAAGTTAATGTCATACAAATAATTATTCCAATAGTAGACAAATGTAACATTTCAACATTTTTTATATAATTAACTAAATTTTTAGCCAAATTTCCTAAAATACCAACATACTTTTCTATGAAGAGCATTAGCACTAATCTTTTCCATCAAAAACTTCAAAACCTGCATAATTAAATTAATGTGTAATCAGCTACAGGTCAATAAGGTAGGTTTAAGCAAAAGAGTTTCATAATAGTAAGATTTTACTTACCACTGTGGTTAATGACATTGAAAGAAGCAGCCAAGATTTTACTTACCACTGTTGTTAATGACATTGAAAGAAGTAGCCCAACAAACACCCGTCGGAAGGATTACTACCACATAACTGTTGATATTTGATACTTTATTACTAAATGAAACCAAAAACAATGTTAACAAGTCAACAAAATCAGAAGGTTTTAGTCAAACATACAGAGGCTGTAATTCCTAATATTAATAAATGACATTGATTGAACGACCTGCAGATTTACCATTTTGTCCCTATGACATTCACTACTGAACACATTCTACAGTTTGTAACTATAATATATATATATATATATATATATATATATATATATATATATATATATATATATATATATATATATATATATATATATACACCTGAGCGATTTCTTCGGTGCTTCATAAATTAAAACACACAGTCATCAAGAAGTTATGAGCATGACACAACATAGTAATACAACATAATCATAGGACAAGAGAACAACTGAATACCTTGTCATCATCAAAATCGTACAAATCAGCAGCTACATATGTAATCCATTAGAAGTTAGAATACAATAAATAAAGTAAAAATGAGGGAACTGCAACCTGTTACTAGATAAAATATTTAAATACAGTTAGGAGGATAAAAAGGGAAATATAGAAAAAAGATTAAAACTATTCTTTTCCGGTATTTAAGGTTAAGCTAACCTTGCAACTAGAACATATAATAATTGGATTCAAAACTGTTTCCTCCCGTCTACAAACGTCACAAACCCTAGAATGCCCTTTGTAATCTAAACCTGATGGTGAAGAATCCATGATCATTTCAGGTGGGGTCCATGTTACAGACAATTTTGGATGTGTTTCTTTTGGGAAATGCATGGTAAAGTGTCTTCCTTGTCAGCATTGATCTTGGACAAAACTTGATTTTGCAGGAGTATAAGTGGATAGACATAAAAATCATGTAAAGCTTCTGTTCTACTGCATTACCAGATATCTAGATATTGGTACAAGTCATACAAAATAAATAAAGTACACTAAAACATCCAACCTTCTTATTTTGATTGCAATGATTAAATTTCCAGACTTACATGGTATCAGTGATGTCATTCATAGGACTTAACCAATAATGGCTCCCAAGATTGGAATTCACCTTGGTATCACACTTAGATTTTATAGCCTCAGTTTGACCACTGTCAGAATTATTGACCAACAGATCAGAAGCATGACAGGATTCTGCTCATACCTGCAAGAAAAAAAAGTTTATTGTTAGATTCTCAAAGCCACCAACATTCTATAATCATCAATATACAATCACAAAGTTAATTATTAGACAACCTTTTCCATAGAATCAGGAGAAGACTCCTCAAGTCCACCATTTTTATGCCCATCCATAACAACCCCATCATCTCCAGAACTCCTTTTCAGAGACAATATAAGACTGTTATCCTTCAAAACCCTAATATTTCCTTTAGTTCTCCTCTAACATGGTGCTGACTTAACAGGACAATTCCCCACATTATTCTTTCTCATCCTTGGATATGCATGGAGACATAAGTTTAAGCTTCAAGTTTTTCTGCAATCCACCAACTGACCCTGGTAAGGGACTTGTGACAGCCAATGAGCCATGCTGAAGCCAAATAACAACTACAAATTTTGAAATTAGATTGCTTTGTCCTTTTCCTTTTACCATACATTGTCTCAAACTCTTGTGACTTGATCACAACCTTTTTAAGAACAACATCAGGAAGCCCTAAAAAAACAACAGTGACACTTGTCGGTCATTACTATTATAGTATTATTAGATTAGAATTACAATAAAAGTGGGAGAGAGGGAGGGAGGGAGGGAACTTTCCTGCTAGGCGTGCAATATTGACACCATAGCTTTTGGGGCATGTACCAAGTGTCAATTTGTAGAGAAATGTTACATCCTTTATGCCTCCATCTCCATCTCTAACTTAGCATGCCATGTAACACAGGGAAACCTACATACAACACACACTAAAGGTCAAAGATCTAAGATAAGATTGCCATCAAAATAGTAACAGTATAGTTATAGCTCTAAAAAATAAGGAAAGGAATAATATGGTACCTTGTCAGTCTGCTGATACTCCAAAGCTAAGTGATGATAGTTAGTAGAAAACAGACCCCGAAACTGGACCTTGTTGACAAGGTGTTCAAGAACTGATGCACTGCAACCAAACCAAACCAAATAATTTGTTTTGATGAAAGATAACAGCTACAACAACAACACATGAAAGTGAAAGTGAAAGCGTACGCTATGGCTTGTCCATTTGATGTTGCTGTCCCTTGTACAAGTTCATCTAATGCCACAACTGATCTACATGTTGCTGATGACTGCACAACATATCCAATTTCATATCACTCACAAACCCAACACACACAGAGAGACCAACATAGATGCGTTTTCCAGCAGCACGGTTAGAAATGTACTGTGGCCTGCCATAATATGGTCTTTTGCACCTATCCTCACAAAGATGCGATCAACCAGAAACATCTTAAAGCTTTGCGCAGGCACATCTGCCCCCACTTGGAACATCCATCCATAACTAACCAAGGTTAACTACTAGAGAGAGAGAGAGAGAGAGAGAGAGAGAGAAACACATATTACATATATCTCTACCTGTGCCAAAATCAGTGCTAAATAAACTTGATGCAGAAGAGTTGACTTTCCACCCATGTTAGGACCAGTAAGCACAATAAATTTGGCATGATCCACCCCACCAATACAAACATCATTTAGGTCAAAAGTATCCCCTATAAGTGGACTTGTAGCATCAATAACTGTTGTGTAGTTGATATAAATATAAATACTCACAACTGCATATTCAAGTCTATAGTTGGATCAGCAAATTGGATCATCAGGGGCATAATCAAAAGCCATTTTCAAATTTCGGTTCTTGTAGTACCTGTGTAGTTGAATAATTTATTATGAAAACTTGTCAAAATGTCAAAAACTAAATAAATAAAAATGAAATAATATACAAATCGTAAACAAAACAAATGAGTTGAGAAAACAACTTGCGTAGTTGAAGCCAAATAACAACTGCACGGAATAACATTATAAAAAAACAAGACATGAAAAATTAATGAACTTTATAAAAAAATCATATCAAGGAACAAAAAATTACATATTTCCAAAATTCACTAGCCCTGTGTATCCAGGTCCATAAATCGGTTCAACTTCTTGACCACTTTCTTAAATCTGATTCCAGTTAATACCAAATGCATTTATCAAAACATTCATCATAATAAGGTTTGGTTCGATTCCTTCACGTTCCATAAACTGGAGAACTTTAACTATTTGCTCACATAAACCTTGTGTGTGTGTGTGTGTGTAAGAAGGAAGATTACAAAGCAAACAAATCAAAATCAAGAATATTAAACCAATCGAAAAATTTACTAATAGAATAATAACTTGCCTGTTGGAATTTACTTATGTACCTTCATTAATCATATCATCTAAATACCCTTGCCCATTATCACCATTATAGGGTGGCAGTGGCTCATCTAAAATCCCACCAAGCAACTGATCACCATGCATTTGCTGAAAATTACCAAACCTACCACCATTCATTTGATTAGGATTATACCCCTGTGTTAATGCAGATAAAGAAGCACTTGAAAAATGGGAAAAACATGTCGATATGTCCGAACTCAACAATAACTGATTTGGGAAATTAAAAAAAAAGAAGAAAAAAAAAGAAAAAGGGAATTAGGACTTGCCTGAACTCAACAATATGTCCAAAAATGTCGGATAGCTCTATCCTCCTACCCTTACCCAATTTCAACTCTTCAAGAAAAGGATACGGTTTCAGATCATAAATAACCTGATTTCCCAAATTACCCTTCCACCCCGATACATCCCTTCATTCCTCCAAAAAAATTTGATAGCTCTAACCCCCAACCCTTATACAGAGAGGAATTCTTGTTGCTTCTTGACAGGGATTTTCCAACAGTCAGATACAGGCTCACCAAAAAAGCAATTTTTTAACAAACCTAACACAAACATGTGAATTTGCATTTGGAATCAACTGAAACATAAAACTCATAAAAGATTAACCTCAAAATTGAGAAATTTAGTCATTTTAAAACATCAATCTAGCATATCTGAAGCCAACACATACTAATGTTTAAAAACAAAGCAACATAAAACATAAACACTAATCTGAGGGATATGGAGAAAGTAAAAAAGACTTATGTTTTTGCATCCTCAATTTGATCTGCATACGAAGTCTCTAAAAGGTGGGACTGATGGTTTCCACGTATCCAAATCCAACAACGAAGAGTCTAATTCTCTGGGAGAAGATGTATATGGAGTAATTGTGCTTTCTTTACACTAAATCATGTTCATCTAACCTTCAGGTGACAAATTCTACATCACAAAAAAAAACATAAATTAATCACAATAATTTCTTCATAAATTAACCCACCAAATATTTGGTATAATCTTCATCTGAGTGGGGAAGTTTGATTTGCGTAAATTACCAAAAAAAATCAATCAGATATGGTAATATTCAACAATTCTAATATTTTATAGAACCTCATAACCTCAAATCAAAGAAAAACTAAAAGAAAGAAAGAGATAAAGATGGAGCATAAAACCCAAAGAGGATAAGTTGAAGTAGAGCAATCCAATACAACCCTAAAAAGATTCCTTTAAGTCAATTGGGTAGTATCAAAACCTCAACCCCTAAATAAATTCAACTATTTATGTCCTGAAGCGAAAATCTATTGAATTATACAGAGTAGAAGAGAAAACTGAGAGAAAAAGGTAAAGGGTCATACCTAGTTTGCAGAGAAGACTTGAAAAATCTTTGATGAAATTAAAGATTTTGATTAGTAAATTGATATTGAGATGGAATCGGACAAATAAAATGAGAGGGGAATGAGAAAAAACAATGACCAATAAGAGAGTACTGATGATATTACCGGTGAAATAACCCACTAAATTGCATAATTCTATCAACTCGCATGAAAGGAAGCTCAAGTTTATTCACTGTTACAATTAAAGATAATAATGGCTCAAAGATTCCAAAATTCATCAAGATTAACCAAAAAATGCCCTAAGTTCTCATATTTCTCGGAAATGGAAGGAGACGGCGAGTTAGGGCTGCAGACGGAAAAAGTGAGGAGAGAAGGAGGCGATTGAGGAGCCGCAAAATCATCAATTGTCGGCTTTGTGAGCAAGAGGACATGACCTAATTTTGTGAGGTGAACAAGGAAGAGGATAACACAAGGCGAGGTTTTTATAGAGAGAATGGAGTGAGAAAATGAAGGTCCTTGTCAGCTGGTAGCTCTGATTTATGAAGAGATCTCATTCATCATGGCGTGGTGGAGAGGGGAGAAGCGGATCGGAGAAGAGGAAGAATGAGGGAGAGGGGAGAATCAATTGGGAATATGAAAGATAGAAAAAAGGTAGAAAAGCGGGTTTTCAAAATATTGGGCATTTCGTTTTCCCCCGTATTGATAAACGTGCCTTTCATTAAAATTATAAAGCGACGCTTATAGAGGACGCGCATTTAACATACAGCGCCCTCCGTGTTTTTAATTTTTTTTTCTTATGATACTAGTTTAAGGGCACGCAATAATGCGCGATCTAAATTCTTAAATTTTTTGAAGAGATGACACTTTTTTAATGTACCTCTCTTTTGTGTAACATAAATCAATGAGTGTCGTGTTTTGCGCGTCGTAAAAGGGTCTTTTTCTTGTAGTGGAGCGCAATGGGTCCAATTAAGTTTTTTTCTTGGGTTGAATATAAGATAGGGACTAGAAGGTATTTTATTAACTAGGAGGCCTACACGAAGAATCTGTTGGCAAAATTTGGAATGATGGGAGAATCAAAGGTGAAGGTTCCTATGGTGTTTGGCACCAAGTTAACACCATCTCTGGAAAATCCTGGTGTAGATATGACTCTCTATCATCAAATGATAGGCTCTCTCATGTATCTAACTGCAAGTAGACCGGACATTATGTTTTCTGTCTGTTATTGTGCCAGGTTTCAAGCCAATCCTAGATAACCTCACATGATGGAAGTGAAGAATATTTTTCGATATTTGAAGCGTACCTCATCGCTCGGTCTCTGGTATCCAGCTAAATCCGGATTCTTTGTTCAAGCCTTTTCTGATGCTAATCTGGGTGGCTGTGGTCTAGATACAAAGAGCACAATTGGAGGATGACAGTTCCTTGATGGTAAACTAGTTAGCTAGCAGTCCAATAAGTAAACTTATGTGTCTCTCTCAATAGCCGAAGCAGAATACATACTTGTCGTTTCGTGTAATTCACAAGTAGTCTGGATACAAAGTCAGCTTAGAGACTATGGACTGAGTATGAAGAAGATTCCGCTTTATTGTGATTCTGAAAGCGCGATAAGAATTTGTCACAATCCGATTTAGCACTCAAAGATAAAGCATATTACACTGAGGTACCACTTCATCAAGGACCATGTTGAAGATGGCAACGTGGAAGTCCATTTCGTACGATCCTCAGATCAACTTGCAGTTATTTTCACTAAAGCATTAGCATAAGCAAGCTTCAATAAAATTTTGCAAGGTTTGGGTATGATGGATGCAGATTCGGTACCGAATCCTCAAACCTCTCTCTGAAAAATTAGGCAAGCGAAATTAAATAATCGCTCGGTCTGTTTCAGGTCCTTAATTTTAGGAACCGAAATGAACCGAACGCTCGGCTTATTTCAGCTCCCTAATTTTCGGGAACCAAAATGAACTGATCGATCGGTCTATTTCGGCTCCGAAATTTTAGGGAACCGAAATGAACCGAACGCTCTGCTTGTTTCGGCTCCTTAATTTTTGGGAACTAAAATGGAATGACCGCTCTGTGTATTTGGCTTCTATTATTTAAGGTGAATGTTCGGCTGTATATTTTTGTACTTATTTTTTTCTTTTTCATTTGTAATTATTTTTTTTACTTATCAGATGCTTTAAAGTTTTTTTTTCTATTATTTTCCTTATTTATCAGAAAATACAAAATTTCATAAAGATTTTATTTTTGTTTTATCTTTTTAATTATTTTTATTTTTTTTGTGTTGTTTTGTTTTTGTTTGTTTTTTTGTGTTGTTTGTTTCTCTCTTCTTCCTTACTAGGTATTAAGTGCCAAGAAAGCTTATGAATTCGTAGAGGGGCAGGTATGTCAATCTTAACTATGAAATAGCTAGGTGTCCCTAGAAGCATGCTGCTGCATGTAGTCTACAGCCTCTTAAAAAACTTTGAGTGAGGCCTTAATGATTCGATTTATACCTATCATTTCTTTCCAAATAGGCTGTATCATTCACTCAAGTCCCGAGCTACCCTACTCTTCTCAAATGAATCAATAGTTTTTTGCTATGTCACTCTTTAAAAGCAGGGGTACATTCAGCTCTTTAACCCCCTCCTCTATATTCTCCATCTACTTTCGTTTCATCAATGTAACCCTTAAGACTCTCAGGAATTACCACTAAGGTTTATGGTTACAAAAAATCTATGTTTATGATCTTAGATACGTACACGACGTGCTGAGTGAGACCCTAAATCCAACACTAATACTGAATTGATGATGAATTTTAATATTCAAGATTTAACTTGTTACATACAGAATTCTCATCTTATTTTCTTGCGTGATCTTTATGAAATTGTCTAAGACCAAGACATTTCTTCCCAAAAGATCCAGTCTAGTTTTTGTTTTTGAGATTTCTACTCTAAATTTTGTTACTTCCAACCTATCCAACCTACTTGTTCAAAAGACCACATCGGTCTCACAAGTACTTCTTCCAATGTTCGGTCTTATATTAAGCATCAAATTTCAGTTAAAGCTTAGCCACCTCTAAAGCCCATGATTAAAAAGAAGCCTTTCAATGTTTCTTAAAAAACATTTGATCGTATTCGCACGGGAAACCACACACGCACTTCAAGTCTCTGTTTACTTTGAAGGAAGAGATTCATGCCCTGGATTCTCATCTTTATGTCATATTTGACATCATTCACATCCCATACACTTGTTTGCTTTATATCATATCTGTTGGCACACTAATGCACGAAAATCTTTCTGATTTTCCAAAATTCTAGTTCGTGACAATTTTGCGTGGTTTCACTTTCGGTTCTAAAAATTAAATAGTCTTATGAAAGTGATAAGGGACTCTGTATTTTAAATGAGTAATGGATTGAAGAAGTTGAATGGATGTGACATTCCAACATGTCTGTGGATAAGTTCAAAATTGGGCGCGTGAAGTTGAAATGGACCCTAAACCTTCGTCGCATGTTATGTATATGGGGAAAACCAAGCTGTCAAATCACGCTTTTCTAGGCGCTTTTTCAGAAATCGTTTCATCATTATAGATGATTCCTTCTCTCTCATGGCAATTGTATATAAAAGGATTCTCATTCAACTGTACCATTTATCATGCTCCACTTTTCTCAAACAAATCGGCGCTTGTTAAACAGTTCATCTTCTTCACAAAGCTCTACAATGGTGGATTCTTCATCTCTTCAGGATCAAACGACATCGTCATCCCTGCTTTCGATCAAGCCTAAACAGAATATGATCATTCAGATGACTCCATTCATGTATGATCATTGCATGCTT